GACCCATGTAACTAAATCGAGAAGCTGTAGAGTTTCCATGAGAAAAGCTCATATGTTTCTCTGACAGCAAATTGTACAAAAAGTTATTAATTAATGGGGAAAGGCCACAAGCGTGGAGTTTGTCTGAAAGGACTTCAACCGATACTGAATCAAAAGCCCCCTTAATATCCAAGAACACAGAAGCCATTTGCTCTTTTTTAGCAAAAGCCAACTGGATTTCTGTGGAAAGCAACGCGAGACAGTCGTTCGTTCCCTTACCCCTACGGAAACCAAATTGAGTATCTGAGAGTAGGTGGTTCGTCTCAACCCATTTGTCGAGGCGAAAAAGGATCATTTTCTCCAACAATTTTCGAATGCACGATAACATCATAGAGGTAACTCTAAGACTAGTAGGTCCCGAAGAAAATCATTATTATTTTTGGCTCACTCAGTACCAGAACAACGGTCCCAAGCAGTCCCAAGCTATTTCACTCACCCCTGCATGTTCTGCATGAATCCACACACCCCTGATGTTATCTGTCAAACTTTCATAGCGAATCAAAACAAACATAGTGTAGTAATAGAATTTCAACTAGAATAGGGTACGTTAATCGTTTGCTTGGGACCAATAGGCTACTAAAGTGGTGAGCCAATTTAAAATCGTTAGTTTCGTATTGATTGTTGATAACATCGCGATGGGACGATACGAGTTATGATCTGACGCGGGTTTTCCAGGCTTTTTAATGGCTATAACTCTCACTCGCCTCCAATCATCTGGAACAATATTGAACTCCAGGAACTGACAAAACAAGTTCAACATGCGCCTCTTAGCGACGTCTGGGAGGTTCTTCAACAAGTCAAACTTGATCCTATCAGCCCCCGGAGCCGAATTGCGACACGAAAGGAGCGCGAGTGAGAGCTCCAGCATTGAAAAAGGCTGGCTGATCTCGTCTACCGAATTCGTCGTTTCGCGAGGAATCATCTGTGCCGGCACGGAATCAGGACATACTTTTCGCGCGAACTTGAGAATCCACCGATCCGAGTACTCCTCGCTCTCGTTGTTTGAAGACCGGTTACGCATCCTTCGCGCCGTGTTCCAAAGCGTATTCATCGACGTTTCGCGCGATAAACCGTCCACGAATTGCCGCCAGTATCCGCGTTTCTTGGCTTTGATGAGGCTCTTGAGTTCGTGTTCAAGAGTCGAGTACGCTTCGAAATACTCGGGTGTTCCGCGTTTCCGGAAAAGCTTACACGCGTCGGACTTTTTACGATAAACCTCAGTGCATTGCTGGTCCCACCAAGGGGTAGGAGGTTTCCTACGAAAAGACGTTCCTGGAACCGGCCGAGTTTGAGCTCGAAGCGCGCTGTCCAAGATCAGATTGGAGAGGAAGTTATATTCCTCCAACGGTGGAAGCTCTTCTACCGACGACACGGCTTCATCTATCGCGGTCTTGAACGTTGTCCAATCGATATTACGGGTGAGGTCGTACGCGACGTTAACGGATTCCGACGGATTGAACCCACTGGCAATCGAAATTTTGATCGGCAAGTGATCACTACCGTGGGGATCCTGGATCACATTCCACGGGCAATCCAACGATAATGAATTAGAGCAAAGTGTGAGGTCTAATCTACTTCCATTTGAGGATGGACCAGCCAGACGTGTTACTTCTCCATTGTTAAGAATTGTCATATTGAAGTTATCACAGAGGTCATATATCAAAGTAGAACGGTTGTCATCATACAGTTCCCCCCAGCCTGTACCGTGGGAATTAAAATCTCCCATAATCAACCGTGGAGTAGGAAGAACTGAACAGATATCTGAAAGTTGTTTTTGACTAATCGAAACTCGGGGAGGAATATACACAGAAGCAATACAAAGGCTCTTGCCTTTAACAAAAGCCTGACATGCGACAACTTCAATACCTGGAAATTGTGGAAGATTCACTCTATAGAAGGAATGGCACTTTTTGATCCCCAAAAGTACTCCTCCTCCACGCGAATCCTCACGATCCAGTCGAATAATGTTAAAATCATGAAAAGGAAGATCGATATCTGAAGAGAGCCAAGTTTCACACAGAGCAAATGCATCACAATCATTATTGTGAACCAAAAACTTAAACGATTCTATCTTAGGAATAAGACTTCGACAATTCCACTGTAGAACAGTGATCAAATCCCCGACCTCGTTTGGAAAATTATCCATCGAAGGAGATGATTGCTGCAAGGAGGGGCCACTTCAATGTCAACTGCTTCAAGAGGGTTTTCACAGTAGGAAGCATTGCCAGAACAATGCTTTTCAGAGGATCAGAAATATCGAGGTAATTGAGGATACTGTCCACAATGTTATCAAATGAGAACAACCCAGATGAAGAAGGGGCTTGTGTTCTGAAAATTGGGGCATCGGGGGTTTTGGATGTCCCCGGGAGAGGTGGAAAATCCTGGGTATAATCAGTTCTGCGGAATCCAGGAGGAGTAGAAGTCTCCTTTTTTCCACCACTCCTTGATTTGGGCAAGCTGATTTGGGGTTCTTGATCTGCAACTTTCCGCGAACGGATGCGTTTTCGTTTCCGGGCAGAACCTTCCGGAAAACTGAAAGAAACTCCCTCCTCAGCCAAGTCAGAGCCAGACTCGTCATCTGACAAAAGAGCGAAGGGATTTGTTTCGTTGGTCGATGGCTTGGCTGTCTTAAGCATTTCTGCAAAAGACCGCCTGGAACGTTCTTTAAGGGAGCGCTTTAGTTTTTCCCCGCGTTGTTTATACACCGGACACGACGAGAGACCATGAGGAGGAGATCCTTTGCAGTACACGCATTTTGGTGCCGTGACTGTGCAGGCGCCATCCTCGTGCTTCTCCCCGCATTTGGAACAGCGTGCCTTGCTGCCACAGTGAGAGGCCGTATGTCCCAACTGTTTGCAGTTTTGGCAGATCATGACCCGAGGAACAAACAAGCGCACAGGTAGCCGAAGTTTTCCCAACTCGATGTACTGAGGAAGGGCTGAACCAGAAAAGGTCACGCGAAACGAGTCTGTGGGGGTAAAACTCTTTTTACCCTCGCTGACAGATACTGAGCCCAGTTTTTGGACATCCAGTATCTTCACCGGGGGGAGCAAGGGGTTCTTGAAACGGCCAACCGCCTGCTTCTCCAAGATCTCGGGGGTCAGACTCGCTTCGGTGACCACACCTTCGATCTCCACATCACGAGCTGGTATGTAAACCCTGTACTCAATCGTAAAGAGCTGGGAGGCAGCAATCTCGTTAGCCTGCTTCAGGTTAGAAACGACAACACGAAGTTTATTATGCCTAACCTTCGTGATTTCGGTCACGGCCGAGTATCGCTTCGTCAGATCAGTGGAAATTTGCATCAAGTTCAAAGGTTTGTTTTTGGGCTGAAAGTAGACAACCCATGGCCCAGTCAAGTCATCTGGATAGGCTCGCGATCGGGGGCTTTTCTGAGACGAACCATGAATGACAGGACGTTTTCGTCTTTTCTTGCCATCGAGTGGCAAACTGGTGTCATCTTCCGACAAAATGTCCATATCGTCTTCTCACGAGACGTCCATTTTGCCGTACTAGTGGGAGCGGTAAACGCTCTACCACTGAAACGATGCTTAAAACCACACAGACACAATAAACAGAAAAAAAAACTACAAACACAGAAACACAAAATTAAATTTAACTGATGGGCGAGAGAAAGAAACAGGAAAAAAAAACTTATCTGCTATACTACTACCACCGAGTGATTACACAGCAGCAGCGGAGCGACGCGCAGCGTGGGTGACCTTCGATGCGCGTGTGCGGGCGATCTTTGTAGTGGTGTGCTTGTATTAGGCTCGGCACTCAGCTGGACACACGATGATGGATGACCGGTATAAATGCGGAGGCAGATGCTGACACTCGATGACGATGATCTGTGTGCAGGTATGCGTGATCACGCACCGATGGCAAAATGGTTGGCGAATTGGCAATCGCAAAAACAATTTTCCTTCCGATGATGCCGAAAACACACTTTCTTCTCAGAAAAAAACTCACTTTCAGATAATTGTTTAGCCGGGTACTATGCCAGTAATCACGAAGCGAGAAAAAACTGATAATTTAAACCAACCGAATACCGAGAAAACTACCGAAATACGGGAGCGCGAAACAAGTCGACTGTACTTCTTGCTAGGTCGCAGTGGGATGTGAAATTTTTATCATGATAAGATAGAAAAAAAATATTTTTACATAAAATTTTTCTCAAGAATCGAAGGAAAAAACTAATTTTCTTCGATTTTTGATAAATTTTCCCAAAATTTATAGAAAAATGAAAACGAGTCGAATTTTTTTTCAGGGCGGTAAACTTCTCTTAAAGTTTTTCAACGCATGTCTGCAAAAATACTATTCCAACCAGGATTTAATCCGTAAAAAATATATATCAAAAAGTATAGAATTTGTTGTCTAAGCATTTGCCGCGTTCTCCATGAAAAACGTTTGAATAGCATTCAGAAACAAATTGATAAATTACCCCTGAATTAATTTTTGTTCGATTGAATTATTGTCACGATCACAATACTCCGACCACAGACTATGAATTTAGTGACTATACTCCTTCCTCTATTGCGTTATGGTATTTGTAAACATACCTTTAGCTCACCTCGAGTCACCAATTTTTGAGTATTAATATTCCGTTTCTTATAGCAAATTTCATACAAACCTTTGTCTGCATTCTGGTATCTTTAAATTAAAACCAATTCGGCTGGTTTTTGGAATCATCGCATATACGTTTCTTTTATGGAAAGTTCCTATTATGACCCTATTGGAATCCAACATATCATAGCAGGAGATACATCATTATAGGAAAGTATAGCCATGACTGGTACACATACCCTATCAACAATAAGAAAAAAACATCAAGCTGTAGTATATTTCAACACTAGAATCTGAATGTAATTCAATTCAATGAACAAATTGATTTAAAATTTTATTTATCGAATAAACATAAAAATACTATTAAGCCAAAAACATAAATATAAACGAAAATCACTGTATCGAAGGAGCGAAGCTTACATTGACTTCATTTGTGCCATAAGATCATCTAAGCTAACATCGTCGCTCACCGCAGCTGGGGGAGCACTGGAATGTTGAGTATCTGGAGCTTCATATGCCAATTTCAAACCCGCTGAAATAGTGTTGGATGTCCCGGTGGATGATTGGGTTCCCTGTGGTTCATCCTCAGCTACCAATTCTATACCATAAAGATTCTCCTCATGGAGTGGTGTTTCTTCCTCGGCAACTACCTCAACTTGTTCCAGTTTAGGTCGAGCAGCATAATCCTTTTGGCGTTCAATACAGAAACGGTCGTCACATGTCGGGTTTGGCTTGAGGCTCATTTTTGGGAAAAAGTCAATCAATGCGTTGTAGCCTAGATAGTCCGATACCGTTCCAAAGTTGAGTAAATACTTGAGTGTGTTCTGGACCAGCATTCCGGCAACGATACCCATGGTAGTAGGCAGACTGGCAGCACAAACACCTTCTCGTTTCAACGTTTTTTCATCAATATTTTCTGCCACCACCAATGGAGGGGCACACGCAAAACAAGCTGTATCTCCTGGACGAATAACTTGAATATGGCCCGATACTGCATTTTCGGAAACTCCAGATTCGAACCAATTTTGGCTTAGTTCGTTGCATGCCGTATTGATGGTCATACGTGCTTCAAAATTGTCAACGCAGCTGAGGACTAGATCGACTGGCGAACCCTCCTCAATGCCACCCGTTTTAATGGCATTTAAAAATTTATCGAACGATTCAACCGTTGTGATGTTGTAATTGTTGGTCAGAATTTCAACATCGGGATTGATAAAATTCAACGTCTTCGCTGCCGCTTCCACTTTCGAGAGCCCGGCTTGGTCAGGAGTGAAGAAAAGGCGGTTCATATTGGCCAGCTCTACCTTGTCATAATCAAACAGAATCAGTTTACCGATTCCGCAACGAGTTAACATGTCAGCCGTTACACTGCCCACGCCACCGACACCTGGAAAAACAAAAAAAAAAAATGGCGGTCATTTATTGTTAACAATAATTATACTGATGAGAGTTTTTTTGTACCATAATGGTGCAATTAAAGTTAGTGATAATTTAAAGCCTGTCTTGTAAATGAACACTTGAGAGGTTTGTACCTAGCTTGAAAGATGATCATTAATAAAAAAATATTGTATTTTTTTTTTCGAAATAATCATTTAATTTCGTATCACCGGGTAATCCAAATGAAATAAAAATAATCGTTAATATTGTATGGGTAACTTCAGTAACTTATGCTGTTGTATGTATGTATGTATGTAAGATATCCACCAACCCCTTCGAAGATCTCGTCTTTTTGTTTATTAATCGAATAACCTTTACAGAGCCGAGGATTCTTGGTTGCTACACAATACATCTTAAAATTATAGTCAACACAATAAACTATAGTCAACACATTAAACATTTCATCTTCCGCTATCCAAAAATCCTCCTGCATCAGAACGGGAGCCGCCTCCAGTGGTTTCATTGTATGGCATAATCGCCAACGGGGGTAAGTGCGTTTCCATTGCAACAATGGACGCAAAACGTGGTCAGCACTCACACACTCATCACTAAACGGTTGCAGCTCCACTTAATAGCAAGATCAATTTGAGCTACCGATATGAATTCACAATATCGCTGTATAAAGGGCAACACCGGAGGGGTAGAGAAACTTACGCGAAATCCTCGGAATTTAAGAATCTCCTTCCAACGACACGATCTAACAAATCGAATAACACAATTTGCAATACATATTAAGCTTCCTACAGGATGGTTTGTTAAGAAGGATCTCACTGAAACTGTTGGAGTAGAATTCACACCACTACAATCGAATCGGTAGGGCAAAGAAATGATAGTGGAGGACAAGATTCCCTCCAAAACAAGATTCTGAAAATGATTTTGAACCTGCCTCCCTGGACCAGAACTTTTGATGTGCATGATATTGTTGATACGGAATTCCTCGAAACTAGATTTCATCCAGTCCTTCCGTTCAAAAGTCTCCGAATCTGAGCTTGCAATCATCAGAAATCTTATTTAATTCCCAAATATTTCTTATCCTATTTTATTTTTATTTTTTATTGTGCTGGTAAAATCTTATACAAACATTATATCATTATATGTAAATCATGTAAATAAAAATGTGTTAATAGTAATTTTAATATAGTTGAAGATGCTAATTTCGAATAACAGACTGAAATGGTAATTTTTATACGATAGATGAGGAGGAGAAGAAAGTATAGGACTGATAGTTCCGTTTAGATTACGGCAGTGTTAAAATTGCATATAGAGAGTAGATAGCGAGCTAGGACAACTTTTTAAGGAAGGTACAAATCGGTTTTATAATCTCTCTTTACCAAACTCCCCCTTTGGAGAGAGATGGTGAGGGAAAACACCCCCCCCCCCCCGCCAGCACTGGCAAAAAGAGATGATCGCCGACCGCTCAAGTACCAACGATGTGTTTGAAACCGTTCTACCGTTTTTACCGCACTCCAGTTGTTATTTGAAGGAAGGCATCCAGTCGTAGGTTTGGAAATTGCAGCTATTGTTTACCCCTACCACGGTATGTGCTCCTGTCATAGTCGACTTGACGATCTCGAGGGGACACGGGTGGGGTAGGTGCTGCTACTGTACCTTTCGACCAATGACAGTAATTGATGGTATGCTCCCATCCAGAGTTATGTACTTTGACTATATGTTTAGTATTACTTCTGAAAGCGGAAACTAAGCTCAAGTAGCCTCCCAGTAAAAGTAAGAATAACTCACACTGAAAGTAATATTTCGTTTATACAACAAAATCTTTCGTTAATTCTACGGATCCATTCGTTGTTATCTGCTACGAAAGTTATTCGTACACTTTACGAAACTAATTTTATTAAAACTGTCACACTCGCTGCTGATTCAATTTCATATTGGAACGAATGTTACGTAAAATAAATACGAAATGTTCATTTTTATGGAAAAAGTACGACTCTTTCGTAAATTGAAAATAATATACCAAAATGGAGCAAACGGCAACGAAACATTAGTAAAAAATGCATGTCTGGTTATCGCTGTACGTACGATTTCATTTCGTACGAACGTGTATCTTCTTTTTAATGTCACAAATGAAATCAATTGATAATTATCGCCACCCGGATGATCTATGAGGGCACAACTACACTAATGTCAACAGATACTGAGTAATGACATTATCCAGAAGGCCTGTATTACTTACAATGATTTCCCTCCAGATATACAATCTGTTCCTTGAAATCCCAACATCCCAAGATGATCAATTTGAAAGACAAGAAGAACAGCAGTTCGATGTGTACAAAATTCAGTTTGTATATTTTATAAATAGGGTGTAATATAAGCAATGTGGCAGTTGACTGGAAATATGAATGTTGCGTACAATTATCGAAAAATGTGTTTTATGTACGATAACCATTTTTACGAGAAGAGCTTAACAGAATTAACGAAATAATATTTTCATTGCAGTTTTCCATAATTATTTGTTTTTAATTATATAATTATTTACTGATTCTCGGCTCATTGGAGCCGTTTTGGACATTTGAGCCTTAATTAATAAACAATTGAAAGAAAAAACAGGTCAGTGTGTAATTAAATTAATAAAAAAAAAATCATAGTAAACTTAAATCTGAAAGTTTTACTGTCAGTACTTTATTTTTGTTTTTGTTTCGAAACAAATGGCATAATTTCTTACATACGATGTATATGTTTCTCACAACAAATGTAATAGCAGTTCTTATAATTCATTTTCGGTTAAAACCTTCACGAGATAAATTTGTGGTCGCAGTGCATTTGGGAAAACAAAATTTGTTCGAAAGTTTAGCTAACAATTTAAAAACATTCCGACGACCGCATTACAAAACCTATTCATGCGGCGAAACATTACAAATTCTGTATACTTTTTATGCAAACTGTAAGAGAATCTTACATTACTTGGTTGGATGTATCAGGAACTCTGCTCTCCGTTTAATGGCATGTAGAACATTGATGTTATGTGAGTCATAATTCCTCTGGCATCATTTTTTTTGTAGTTATAATGCCATTAACACGTGCCATTATTATACCACTGTTAATGTCCAGTAATTTGTTTTAATAGTTAATAGCATATGATACATACCTACGATAGCAACGCACTTCTGTCGAATCCGTTCATATTCGTTGACGATTCCCATACGTTGCAGAGCCATGAGACGGCTGTATGGATTCGAATCTACTACCTCTGAAGACATCTTTTCGATCTTCTCTCTGGCACCTCCGGAAGGATTTCCTTTCAGTTTACAAAGCTCGCTTTGTAGTTCTTCGATTTGTTGCTTCAGTTCTTGTACAGACGACATATTGCCGATTTTTTTAAAACTAAATTATGGGGATCAATTCTTGTTGCCTTTCGGACTATGGTTGCACTTTCTAACATGAGACGTGTCAGTAAAAATTCAACAACAACAACACACTCGTGGATGAATTTGCGTGCACACTCGATGATTCATTTCATTCACTTCGATGTCAAATAAGAGTGCTGAGAGCCAGTGTTAAAAGTATGGCAGACGAAATAAGCCGGTTGTAAAAGATAGAGTGGTGCCATATTATTTTTTTCTGATATTTTCTACCCACCAAATTCACTTTCAAAATAGTTTGCCTTCAGTTCAGTGTTAGAAAAGCGTTAACCGACGTTTTACTGTTGGCTGTTGCTTGTTGTTTGTGTTGTTTCAACCAATTTTTAACACGTAATTTAGGCGCGGGTCTTGTTGGAAGATGTTGGTTAACTCGGTTAAACTTATGACAGACATGGTTGTTGTACCGTTGTACCGTTATGGCCCTTAAATTTGGTACGTTGATTGTGGTACAGGATTAAAGGAGTACAACGATACTACAATCATTGGTATTAGCTCGCTCATTATTCATTATTTATAAACATTATGAACATTAACATTTTCAGTGAACATGGCCCTCAACACTTGTCAAATTTTCGTCAATAGATGAACTCGAACTCCACCAGTGCACTACGGTCTCTACTTATTCCCAAAAAAAATCTATAACCGATTGCCTACGCAGAGAGAAGGCTCAAAAGCATTTGAAAAACGAAGCCTATTAAAACATGCGAAATAAATGAACAGCCTCTTAGATCATGCGAAATAAATGAGTAGACAAAAATTGGTGTCATTAAACTAAAACTTGTATTACTTCTACCATATTAAAACTCATTCACATTTTCAGTGTGATTACCGGCTTCGTCTTTTACCAAATCTTGAATTTCCTTAGACAATTTAGCTGCTGCTTCTAATTGCTTGTGACATTTTTTTTTTCATTTAACCCTGCCAACCCTAAAAAACAAATACCATAAACAAACGATAACCCAAGTAGTCGAACTTTTCGTTCTTAAGAAAAATAACTATATACCATTTTATTAGGGAATGCAATCAAGATAGGCGCTGCAACATTGTTTCTGGCTTTGACAGTTCATTTGGCTCAAAACCGGCCAGTCCACCCCTCTCATGTACTATACCCTCTCTATTTGAGACAAATGGGCCATTTGTCTCAAATACTATTTCAGCAAAGTTAATATATAAAGTTTGCTGACGTTTATCGTATGCACACTACGTCACGTATACGTATACACAAAATGTTTTCATCGGGTAAAAAAAACTTCATAGCGAAAAAGTTTCCAGATGAAAACAAATCACTGACACAATCACACGTTAGCAATCTCTATACACGTGCATCCATCCCACCTGCTAGAAACACGCTTTCTATCAGATCGTAGAGGTGCCTGCGTGTCTGGTACATTTCGAGACGAATTATTTCGCGTCTCTTTTTCGTTCCTACGTGCCTCATTCGTGTCACACGTGCTGTGTCTCATGGGCTAAGCTCGGCGAGCTCCAGGGAGATCGACAGCGTACCTACATCCTGCGTGCATGATTTTATGATAAAGAAAACAACGGAGAACTGTTGATCGAGTAGGCCTGTCACATTCTCGTGTTGCTGCTACAGCTGATTGATTTGAATCAGTTGGTATCACGTTTTTGAGGGTTGGGAGATTGTGAATTTATAGAAGTGTAGAGCCACGAGGGCCGACGTCCCACAAGAGGGAAAACCAGAACACATTTGACTTTGGAATACAAACAGCTGACTGTAACACTGACGACCTTCGTAACTTGTCCTCCACGAAGAATCCCTCATTTGCTGCGCCAGGCAGTCAAGGAGGAGCTCAATTCGATGGAAGAAATGGGCGTCATTCAGCCCATAAGCGAGCCAACCCCGGTTACAAATGCACTGGTTATCGTTAGACAGAAAGGTAAACTTCGTATATGTATTGATCCGTCTCAGGTGAACCGAAACCTCCTTCGTCGCACGCATCCCCTGTCGAAAATCGAAGAAATATCAGCGTGAATCTATAATTCGAAAGTTTTCACAAAACTAGATTTGAAAAAAGGCTTCTGGCAAATCCCCGTTTCAGATCGTTCAATGAAATATCTGGCGTTTTCTACTCCTTGGGGCAGATACACTTGCAAAAGACTTCCATTTGGGTTGGCCTCAGCTCCGGAGGTCTTCCAGAAGCTGATGAATACGATATTGGCAGGACTAGAGGGTGTCGAAAGTTCAATGGATGATATACTCATTCATGCCGGAACGGAAGACCGGTTGTGGGAATTGACAAGTATCGTTTTAAAGAGAATTGAATCGGCGGGTCTCAAACTGAACAAGGAAAAATGTATTTTCAATGAAACATCCGTTAAATTCTTAGGACATCTAGTGACGCAGCAGGGACTTAAGGCCGATCCAGATAAGTTGAAGGCAATTCAGCAACTGAAACGACCGACAAACAGATTAGAATTACAACGAGTATTAGGGACAGTTAACTATGTGGGTAAATTAATTGAAAACCTTTCCGCAGTAACTGAGCCTCTGAGGAAACTGTTGGTCATGGATGTTGAATGGTTCTGGGACGAAGAACAGGAAGCCGCCTTTTCGAAGATAAAGTGTCTGATGACATCTCCTCCCGTTTTGAGTTTTTATTATGTGAATGACGCGGTAACTCTTTTAATGGATGCAAGTTCTAAAGCTTTTGGGGCAGTACTATTGCAAAAAGGAAAACCAGTAGCATATGCTTCTAAATCCTTAACAACGGCTCAAGAGAATTATCCTCAAATAGAGAAAGAAGCTGCTGCTATCCGTTTAGCATGTAACAGGTTACCTGAGTACGTTTATGGCAAAGAACTGATCTTAGAAACGGACCACAAACCGCTAGAATCCATTTACAAAAAGTCATTAGATAGAGCTCCCCCCCCGTCTCAAGAGAATTCTTCTAGACGTCGTTCAATATGGTCCAAAGATTCTTTATAAGAAAGGGAAGGAAATTCCCCTGGCAGATATTCTTAGCAGGGACGTTGACAACCAGGACATAGAACATAGCAGGGACGTTGACAACCAGGATTAAACGGACGAATTAGAGGTTCATGTCGTGCCTGCCAAGCGTGAATTAGTGGAGGAAAGTGCAAAGGATCTAGAAATTCAACAGCTCATAAAGGTTATAATGTCTGGTTGGCCCGATGATAGACGAAAACTTCCCAGAACATTGCGCCCGTATTGGAATTTCCGGAATGAGTTGGCATGTTATGAAGGTTTGGTTTTCAAATCACATCAAATCGTCGTCCCAAAGAATTTGAGACAAAAAATGCTTAAAATCGTTCACACAGGCCACACAGGCATTCACGGTTGTATTAACAGAGCAAAGCTACAGTTATTTTGGGTAGGAATGACAGCAGACATACAGAAAATGGTCGCAGTTTGCTTTGTATGCGAAAGACATCAGCGCTCAAATCAGAAACATACGATAATCAACAACGAAATTCCCACCTTGCCATTCGAAATCGTCGGCTTCGATCTATTCCATTTTCAGGGAGAGGATTTTATTTTGATAGCAGACAGCTATTCGGGATATTTTGACTTTGAACGGCTAAGGGAATTATCAAGTGTTCGTTCTAAAACGTGGGATTCCTAGAATCCTATACACAGATAATGGTCCACAATATGCCTCAAGGGAATTTGCAAGCTTTAGTAAGCAATGGTCTTTCGATCACGTAACTTCCAGTCCCCAGTTTCCAAGAAGTAACGGCTTATCAGAAAGATTTGTCCAAACCGCGAAAAATTTATTATAGGTATTTATATTATTGGTGCTCAGCACGGAAAACAAGATCGACGGAAAAAAATCAAGGAAAAAAAAAGAACATTCCAACTAGAAATTTTAGCTGCAGATTAGCTTATATAGGCGAAAATAGGCTTATACAGCTAATTTTTGCCTGTATAATTTAGAAACCTTTCTAACCCCAACAAAAACAGGATCGCTTATCACACTCTGAAGCTTCATAATCCGTAAACAAAATGAACAACAAATCGATGAAATAATAAAAAATTGACTAAATGTACTTTTTGCAACTGCACAACATTTTAAAGACATCTTCTTGATATCTGAATGGCTTGAAGCTTCTGAATTGGCTGATTTATGTTTTCTGGATATTTTTTTGATAACTTCTGATCTGATTGTGACTTAATCAAAATGGTTTCTAAACGTTATCTGGATTAGACCTCCACTTTTGAGCTTGAAATCAAAGCTTTCATGATTTTGCTTGATTTTCACCTTTGGACAAGGATTTTTCAATCATCTATATATATAAAAAAAACTCATATTTAACAAAAGAGAGATACAAAAACACTACTAGGCGAATGAACATTATCATTATTGCGTATTTTACATTATTATTATTATTTAGCTTTATTAAGGAGGCTTTCAGCCTTGGGCTGGTTCGCCTCCAAAGTGCGTATTTTACACTAACGTAGACTCCTGCGCTAAAAATAAACACTCATGAAAAATTACGCTCTTTGCGGAAAAAAATAAATTAATTATTTTCAAAGTAGGGTAAACGCTTCTCTAGTTGTGGTACGATAGAAGCGTTAGGTTCTTGTATTTGTGTATGGAATCTCCATACACACCAACTAAACGCTTATAACGTACCGCTACTATAGGAGCGTTAACCCTATGTCGATATGATTATCTATTGTACAATGTAGCACTTTGATACATTCAAAATAGTATTTTGTTAGACTGAGCGAAAAATATCCACCAATAATGTCAGCTTCCACAAAACATACAGTAATGAAATTGCCATAACATTTGTGCTCTTGAAGTTTCATGCTAAGGTTTCTTTAGAGCTAGGGGGAGGCAACTGTGGGTACTAAATTACTGTCGGAAAAAAAATGTTCAAACCATGTTGAGAATTCGATCTGTTAATTGATTGCTTGGGAAATGGTGATATATAACACATTTTTTCAAATGCTTTTAACACATGTCTTTGTATTTATTAATTCCATTTGTAGTAAATCACACACATACAAGCTTCATCAAAGTAAAAATCCTAGTTTAATAAAATAAGTTCTATTCCCCTTACGTATCGTGTTCTAATCTATCGATTAGGGTTCTTATGTGTAATCATTTCATTCTGATCATTTAACTTGTCTATTAAAATATGTATGCGCCGTATTGTTATGTATCTTGTGTAGATATCTTCGTCACTATGAATGTTCCAGGTATTGACCTGGAGTTTAAGTTTTGATTTACTTTATGTTACATTATCTTAACCGTGCTCTTTGCTCAGGCTTTCGTTGCTTTTGGTTTGCGTTGGCGTGGCTCTAGACGAATCTGGAAACCTTCTTCTCGCTTTAGAATGATGTCAGCCTGTAGTTTGAAGTCTTCTTCTTTGAGGTCCGAAATGACACGGAAGTTTCGCAGAACGGTGGAGAGGATGACCTTCAGCTTAAGCATAGCGTATTTACGACCTGTTCAATGGAAATATAATTTATTACACTGAAGATTTGGCTAGCAAATAAAGTACGACTTACCAACACAACTTCTTGGTCCAGCAGAAAACGGAACGAATGCATAGTAGTGACGATTGGCTTGTCTTTCGGGGAGGAAATTGTCCGGATCAAACACATTTGGATTAGGATAGGTCGACTCCAATCGGTGCAGCTTGTACGTGGCAACAACAATGGTGGCACCGGATGGTACAACCAAATCGCTCGAAGCTAACTTCAGGTCCTGCTTCAAAGATCTAGCAATGATTGGTACAGGCGGATACATTCGCAAAGTTTCCATCAGGCATCGTTCGAGGTATTTCATTTCCAAGGTGTCTTGGAATGTCGCTGGGCGATCAGAGTCTCCGAAGATGCCGTCCAATTCTTGAATAACCTTATCCTGAATGTGCCTATGGATACCCATCATCGAAAGGAAGAAACTACTTCCAGCAGCAGTCGTGTCGTGTCCCTCAAACATGATCGTATCAACTTGGTTCTTGATTTCTTCATCCGAAATGAGAGCACCGTTTTCCGCACTTTCCAACAGAAGATCGAGGAAAGCCAATCGCTTCTTCTCTCCAACATCATTCTCTTCAACATCCAAGTCATCCTTCAGGTTAGAAGACTGTCCAAAAGAAAGTCCTTCGACAGTATTGTTGTCAGCAGTAACCTTCGGTTTTTCGAACTCAGAAGTCTTGATCGAAGTAGTGGCCAACGTTCCTCGTGTTCCGGTTGCAAATGCTGCCTTCTTGTTACGGATTACCTTACGCGTCAGACTGTGGATGGTATCCAAGAGCTTGACCTGACGTTTGGCATACTGGGACATATTGAAGAAGAGGTCCGGATAAAGCCACATCTTACGATGACGAAGATGCAGAATATCACACATCTTCATGACAGCCATAGCGTAGTCGAATCCGGATTGGTCCTGGGTTTTCTTCGAAACTCCCATGGCAGTTTCTGAGGCGAAAGATAGGGAAAAATACCTTGGTTAGTGAGATTTCGTAATATTATGTTGGATGTTACGTTTCTACTGAAGCATACACATGTAGAGTCGACCATATATTATGTTTAATGCTCTTAAGCAGTTTTTTTTTTTATTCTTCTCTGGTTTTTCAAACCATTATGCAAGGAATTATAATAACTTTTGTTGTATTCAAAGAATATATTGCAATATACTAAGTACTGCAAATGCCTGAATACCAATAATTTAGATTGTTCGATAGAAGGCATTAAACAGAACATGGGCTTAGTTACAGTGTGTCTAAACATTATCAGAACATATTTGTTTGGTGCAGCATTTATCATGACATTCGTAATGGAAAAAAAAAATCAAGATAAGGTTGTTCAATCATAGAGATCTACAGCTCTGGCCACGGACCACACTTTGGTCATCACTGGCCTAGTCAGTTAAGGCACGGTTTTACCAACAATCAATACGAAACTAACGATTCTAAATTGGCTCACTACTTGACTAGCCTATTGGTCCCAAGCAAATCGATTAACGTACCCCATTCTAGTCAAAATTCTAGTACTACACAATGTTTGTTTTGATTCGCTATGAAGTTTGACAGATAAAATGAGGGGTTAGTGGATTTTCCTATGTTTCGAGGGGTGAATCGATAAGCTTGGGACCGAAGATAGTACCAGAGCTGAGCCAAAAAGTTGAGCACGTTTCTTCGGGACCTACTTGTATTAGAGTTACCTCTATGGTTTTACCAAGCTGGAGGCGGTGGAATCGATTCCCGATCAGGTCTAGAACATCTTTCGTGTTGGAAATGTTCTTGACTTTCCTGGGCAATATCGCTGACACAATATACAAATTTCTGCATTGCTTGGTATAGAAAGCTCTGAATTAGTAACTGTTTTTTTCCTTGATTTGAGTTTCCGTCGATCTTGTTTTCCGTACTGATTACAAATGCTACCGACGCCAGGGAGGCCGCTCCCACACCTGGACCCTACCTATCGACCCATCAACTCATGGACGGGCACCAACGGCTTTACTTCCCTTCCGAAGGGATAATTGTGAAAGTGCTTCAAAGAACGCGTAGTTAAGAGTAGGCGAAAAATGCGTCAAATTTAAGGATGATGAAAAACAAATTCTTTTAAATAATTAAAGTAAATTGTAGTACGTGGAATATGTTTTTGAATACCTCTCGAAATCGTCAATTTGGTGAATATAACCGAGAAAGATAATAGAAAACTATAAACTAAGAAGTTCAGAGGTCTAATGAAAAATTAAAAATCTCTGGAAAGACATGTGACCTTTCATGAAAGTTTTCCTCTACTTTTAGTGAATATTTTCAATTGAAACTATAACACGTATAAAGTACTTTCATATGCCTGATACTGCTACTAGGTTCTGTCAAGATTTCTTCAAATATTCTTCTTATTCTTTATCTTTATTAAGTCCCCACTGTGACGTAACGCCGGCCGGCTCTCAACTTAGTTCCATTAGTCATTTCCACAACTGTTAATTTAGAGTTTTATAAGCCAGTACAATTTTTGGATTAGTAGGGGAAATGCAGGTAATGTCGGCCTAAGTGTCCCTAATTTAGGCCCATACATAAATTCAGCAATCGATTAAATTTTCTATACCAACCAAAAATATCCATTAGTAACGTCCCAATAACGCGTTCATCTAGATAAAATTGATAAACAGCAGATTTTTAGCGATGGGCCCAATCTTAGATCCATAGGCCAGCATTAGAGACATTTCCCCTATATACCTATTGTGTAGAATCATATTCTATGTCTAGGGCAGTTGAGAAATTTTCCAACCCGAAAAATTCCAAAACCGGACCAGGAATCGACTCGAGCCGCTTCCGGTATGATCCTGATTTATAGCTGTGCCTTTACCGACTGAGTTAAGGGAGGTCGCTCTTCTTCAAATATAAAACCGATGAAAAAATCCACTCCTTCATACTGAGATAATTAATCGGAAATTTACTGCCAATTAATAACATGTGTAGTCATTTCGCTTTTAGCACAAGGATTGTTTGCATGGCCATGTGCAATTAACAGCATCTATTGATTATTGTTTATCACCACGTCTTGCGTTCTGGAAATCCTCCACGGCAAATACTGGGAGTAAAATGCAAATTGAAACTGAGTATGTCCGCTGAATCTATTAACAGGAACTAGTTCCGTTAATTGTTTCAAGTGAACTGGCTAACGATGATTATATCTTGTTTATGACTTTTACATGTATCCGAATAGTAATTTGAAGAGAATTGATCAATGTTCCTTCTAGACAAACTACAAGCCACGATATTGATTGGTTAGAACCGTAATGGATCTCATCAAGTACGACTGCTAGTAGCCATTGGCAATGGTTCTGACAGAAATTTTACGATCGGCAATTAAGTCAGTGTTGCATAATTAGGCTGTAGGTTCGTCTAAGGTTCACTTTTCAACTTCCATGATTCTACGTACTGGAAATATGGTTAAATGCTATATGTGCATACTGCAACTCCCAAACGTGAAAACTTGTTTTTTCATCTCGAGTCTCATTCACTTTCTGTCGCAATCAGCTGTGCGTTTGAAAAGTGGTTGGCTTTTTTCTCACTCGAGCATGTGACCAGTTCTGGGGAGACAGGTTTGCATATGTTCGTCTAGTCTAACCAACCGCCGCAATGCGCCGGTGCATGTACATGAGATGTCTTTCCTTATGCAATTTCTTCTACATTCATTCACCTTTTTCCAATGCACCAATTGCCGGTGTCGCAATAGACTAATCGAAGTTGGCGGTGATTATCGGCCTCCTTTTTTTAATTACATCGTATACACTATTTGTAAGCACTCTGTAACTTTGTCAATGTTTCGGATACAGGTTTCATAGTACATAGAACAGAAGAGGCCATGTGTAGCGAGTTTGTAGTAGCTAATGAAAATCTGCGCGTTGGTTATGGTCATTTCCCTTTCGTGGTCCATTGGCAAATAGTTTTCATTACTTAGACTAGTTTTAGAGCAGGTCGTTGGACTTGATCGACCTCGATAATATTTACATTCATAGTTGGATATGGATACTTACCGAGTAGGATTTCCACAGTGCACTCGCTCATGTAGTCATGGCAATCGAATGTTTTACCGGCTTCCTTATGCATCTTTTCCACCACCTGGCGGGAATTTTCATTGAACAGATCAATGAAGCTCTTGAGGACGTTCAAATGGAAGGTAGGAGCAATGAGTTTGCGATGCTGACGCCATTTGTGACCTGGAAAATAAATCGGTTTGTGTTACTGATATATAACCGGTTTGTGATCTATATAAATAATTCATTGGGAACGCTTGAATTGATGCAAATTAATCAGAACTAGAACCAATTTCAATTAATGACTGCGAAATGGTTTACACGTCGTCGTGACTACCGGAAGCCAAAAGGTCGTGCAAAGTCAAGTAGTAATAAAATATAAGCGAAAGCACGGCGAAAATTAATTTTAAATTAATGCAGATCAGCTACTTGAGCTTGCGCCATTGCGGGTCGTGTTTGCGTGAACGACTATCACGAAGACGCGGCATATTAAATTTGCGCGCACATGCAAATTAGCCCGCGCAAACGTTCTACCGCGCAGTACCTACATATTTGGATTACCGTTTTAGGGAATCAAAAAAACTTACCAGTACTGATGAGAAGTCCGTTTCCGAGCCATGGTTTGAAGAAACGATATTCGGGAGATTTGTCGATGTACACGTGACTGCTGAGCAAAAGTTCCACATCGCGTGGATCAACCAGGAAGACAATCAGTTTTGGACCAATCCAGATTTTTATGACCTGATTAAAATCCTTTCCTTTCTCAATTACGTTACGAAAGACAGCTGAAAGTAACAGGAGGTTTTACGAGAGTAAGAAGATCGTTCATGAAACATGTTTTGGCTTTAAGGCAATGGTAGTGCAACCATTGGGTCTATATAAATGATAATAACAAGCTTGCAATTATCCTCTTAGCTTCGTTTTGTACCCGCATGGTCAGACATAAAAGAAACTGGCATCCACGGAATTGTTTCAACAGCATGAATGTTATGATGCAATGAATTCGTGCGACAAGTGTAGGATCAATATGAATACCACGACGTACTTATGTCAAAAGAGTGTGTGAGGTCAACCAACTTTACTTTCCTCTATTATATCTGATTGTAGCGCAGGAGTAAATAATGTCTTCCCGTTTAGGGTGACCGCTTTTGTTTTAGCATTAAGTTAGTCATCAATTGTGACTAAATCGGGCAATCGTTGTTCGTAAGGTTAGGCTTTCGGGGCATGAATTGTTCTAAGCGTTTCAAATGCGCCATTGTGTTTGCCAATCTGTACATGGATGAACTTTTACGTAAAGCTGCCTTTTTTGATGTCCACAGCATGATAATTATCGTCGTCATTCCTGTCGGAGGACTTCAAAATCTAATGATTTAAAAGCGATGATTACTTAAGGCCGGCCATTCAATAGTATTTTTGAAATCGGACCTTATAATACGCTATATGAGACCATATTAATACATAATCCCAAAATAAAAACCTGTCGAACAAATGGTAAAGATTGATAATGGTTTAGAGGTCGGGCAATTTTTTTTTAAAGTGAATTGAAAGGCCCGCATCCTTTACGTATATGTTGATTTTGAGCCTAATGATAGAATATGGATCCCGGTCCTATAGAGAATATTTTTGAATATGAAATTTACATTCTCCCTGTGAGAGACAGGATTGAAGTACCAGTACGTAATCGTCAAGATAAATGATGATAATACCGTAGTGCACCCAATACCGGACAGTTCGTTAATCTGAACATTTATTTCTTTATTTAACATTATGTCTACCTTGCAACATAATACATATAGGGGAAATGGATGTAATGTCGGCCTAAATGCCCCTAATTTGAGCCCATACATAAACTAAAAAATCGACTAAATTTTTAATCGCGACCAAAAATATCCATTACTACCGTCCCAATGACGCGTTCATCTAGATAAAATTGATAAATAGCAGATTTTTAGCGATGGTCCCAATCTTAGATCCATAGGCCAACATTAGAGCCGTTTCCCCTATGTGATGATGCTGAACGATACTATGAGACCATGATTAAATTAAACTAAAAGGCAAATGAACGCTCAAGGTTAAAATTAAATAAAAAAAACATGAAATTAACGTAAATTTTGAGCATCGTAGGCATGCAAAATGAAATTTTAGAAGTGACTGGAATTATTGCCTCTGTGTTTGGATTTCGATGCTTTACGGTAATTATGGTTCCACAACTTATTTTTAACTATGTTTGAGCTAGACGATTTTTTTTTCCATTATTTGTTTTCCGTCCATCATGTTTTCCGTACTGAGTATCAATGCTACCGACGCCAGGGAGGCAAGCTCCCACACCTGGACCCTACCTATCGGCCCATCAACTCATGAACCGGGGACCAACGGTTTTACTTCCCTTCCGAAGGAAGGCGTGATCAGAGATGTTATGCCTCAGAACATCCCGGCGGCGCCGACTGGGATTGAACCGAGGCCTGCTGGGGTGAGAGGCAATCACGCTTACCACTACATCGGCGCCGTTATAGCTAGACGATTGATCTATACGATAATTTAATGAAAAATGTTTCAATCACGTTAGGTAAAATAGTCAAACTGATTTCTTCTACAGATATCAATTCCCTTAAAAGTTTTCTAATGCTCCACCGCGACATAAGTGTGTCAGATTGTGGTAAATAGTAGCTAAATACATTATTTTTGACACCTTTAACGCGAGTTTTCTTCGCTCTCAAATTATCAACAATTCAGTGTTCTTTGAAGCACTTCCACAATTATTAGTTGAGAGAGCTTTCTATGCCTGAATGTGTATTTTGTTCGGCAAGCACAATGATACTCTATGCCCAGGGAAGTCGAGAAAATTTCCAATCTGAAAGATGTTCTAAGACGGGACCGGGAATCGAAACCGTCGTCGCCGGCTTGGTAATATCGTGTCTTTGCTGACTAGGCTATCTGAGGCCGAGCAAGCTAAATATATGGGTTGATTTTAAAATAGTATGCAATGTAGAGATTCAAAGTGCTAGAAAACTTACGGCCTCAACTTTGCATTGACCCATTTATCACACTATAGGTATAGCGGCTCTCAACTTTTGGTGGAGAACTTCCAAAGTTGATAATTGAGAGATTACCTAAGTAACCAAAAGTTCCGCATTCAACGATTAAAATCACTTCCAAGTTCCGTAAAGTTCAAATAAAGTTCCGACCAAACCTTCAAATTCCATAAAGTTCAAATAAAGTTCCGACAGAACTTTCAAGTTCTATGAAGTTCGAATAATGTTCTGACAGAACTTTCAAGTTTCATATCGTTCAAATAAAGTTCCGACAGAACTTTCAAGTTCCATAAAGTTCAAATAAAGTTCCGACAGAACTTTCAAGCCACATGAAGCAATCCGCACAAGTCTTTATTAGTAACAAAATTTAATGTACGTATATATGAAATGATCAGTGGCCCGAATAAATCATAATTCTTAAATTAAAAAGTAATTTCCTAAATTCGAACCCGTGTATTCGGCATGCGATTTACGAACGCTAACCACTGCGCCACAAGTGTGTCGGAATACCACTCGGGCAAACACCAATTTAGGCTGTGAACCATTTGCCGAGTTAAATTTAACTCGTGGTTAAAAGTGACATTTCGAAACTTATTCTGTATGTTCGAAAATCCCTGTGCTGTCGATCGACCGGTTTTAGAGAAGAACTCAGCCACGGTTGTCAAAATTTAACTTCTTGTCTGTCAGAAATAACTACGCTCGGATAGCAGGGTTACTCGATAACTTTCCATCTGTCAAATTTTAACCAAAAGTTAAAAAAAAATCCACCATTTGGATTGGGGAAACGCGAAACAGCTGATGGCTCCTCCCAGGAATTCCCGTGAATCTATTTACCGATTCACGGGAATTCCCGGGAGGAGTTCAGAGATCAGAAAAGTATAAAGTTTCTTTCATGACAGCAACTCACCAGAATTTTGTTAAGTTTCAGTAGAACGATTGATTAAGTATGGAATAGTTTAATCAGATAATTTTAATATTTTGGCTTCCATTGAAAAAAAAAACCATGAACTGCCTGCGATTTTTATTCCAACTTCTTCCGTAATTTTTGTAATTTTTAGTTACAGCTACCCTCGGAAGTTTCTTTTGACCCAGAAGATCTATCCGAATTCAGAAGTTTTTTCCAACTTTCCTAGAAATTTTCAACTGATTTCATTGGATGCATCTTTCAGAAGCAACTTGCCAAGCCGGAAACTTGCACGATAGCTGCGTTTGATATCCAATGGAAAGTTCATCCAACCTCTCAGCAAGTTTTGTAAAAGTTTCATTGGAATTTTCTATTCAATCGTTTCTAACTATCCCAGAATTCGACATCGCCGGAAATTTGTTCCGACTTCCTTGATTAGTGTTTTTGGCTTCGCATAGAAATGTCTTCTGATTTCCCTTAAAGCTTTCTTGGCCTTCCCCGGAAATTTCATCTGGCTTCCTTCGGAAAATTCTTCCTTCTTCTTCTGGAACATTCTTTTGATTTCCCTAACAAGATCTTCAGATTACTATGGAACTTAATCCAAACTTTCGCTTTCGAAGTTTCTTTTGGCTCCTCTGGAAAATGTCTTGGAACTTTCACCCAAAAATTCGTCTAAATTCGTTTTCCGGGAAATTGGAACAGATTCCTGGGAATTGGGAATCGTGATTTTTGTTAAACACACTAAACTTAAGTAGATTAAACCCAGACCCTTTGGTTCTTACCCAGGTATCCAAGCATTAAGCAGCAAATTCTACTTAAAAACCAGTTTTGGCAAAGAACTGATTGCTCAAGATACGGCATTCTGAACGATGGTTTAATTCATTTGATTAATAATAATGTAAAAAAAAGCATCTTGAGTTTACTTTATTATCTCGTTATTATAGAAGCATTGGAAATGCTGATTTGCGCCTATTGTGCTACTGATTTACAACAGATGACAAGCATATGCAATGCAAATATGTGGTTGATATACTGCAAATTCTAATGCTTAGTGGTTACCTGGGCTGCTTAATATGTGTAGCTGAGTACAGAACTAGTAACACTAATAGGAACCATGAAGATCAATACAATTTTTAATAAGGTCCATACAAAAAACGTGACAAAGGAGGACTTGAAAATGGGCCTTTTTCGTGACGTGCTTAATTGACGTTCCCTAAATAAAGAATACTTGTTACCTTTCTTACAAAAAAGGTATACATATCACTGGCATGTCTTACTATTCGCCACAGGTATGTTTTTTTTGAAAAAATAGTAAAATTGTGGTAATAATCAAACAATTTCATTTCCGTCACTTATTATAAAACCTTATAGCTATGCAAAAGTAACAAGTAAATTGAATTTAGATTGAATATGCGTTTTGTTTGTTATTCAATATTGATGGCAATAAAATTCAGTCTGACTCCACCTTAAACGATTTTTGCTAAATTAAACAAAAAGTAAATACATTTTTATCAGACTACATCCTGCATCACGTGCTGTAGTTTGAGAAAAATGAGACAAACTTCACTTTCTAGGAAAATATCAAAAATTTTGAAAACTTTTATGAACAAGATATTCCTGTTGACTCGCTGTTCCTGCTGTCTCAGTGTTGACTACTTTCCTCCACATTTAATTTGGTTTTTGTTTTGGTTTTGGTCATCAATAAAAAAAATGTAAAAATTTCAATCGTACTATAGTCAATCACAAATTATACCAGCATTTGTTGATAGAAAAATAGATGAATATTGAAGTTCTAGCCATTTAATCCCGTAGTGTTTGCGGTTAACCGATAATTCATAGCCTCTAAATT